CGGCTTGCTGTGGCTGGGTTCGGGTCGGCCGAAGTGCAGAAGGAGTTTTACTCAGCTAATCCAACATCTGGATCGGCTTAGCCGAACCTCCGGCAGGCTACTCGTTGCTGTTCGGCCTATTCTCATAGGGCCCAAACAGCAGTGAGTGAATAGCCAAATGCCGTCGAGCGCCCTTCGGCTCAGATATTCTGCTCGGTACCTCTGTGGTACCGAGCAGAATAGGAAAAGGAGAAAAAAAAAGGAGAAAATGATGGGCGGAGCTAGCAGTGACAGCTAGCTCCACCCAACTGTTTTCTATTGGACGGGACTTATTTGTTATTTATTAACTCAATACAGTTTTATCTTTTAGATTTAGTCAAAAAATAATTTTTTGTGCACAGATACTGATTGGCCAGCTTCCTTTTATCGGTTTAATATTAATTTGAGAAACATTTGCGTAATTATCGCAGGGCCTACAAATTTAGTATCACCATCTTTTTATTCTACCGGGCCTGCGCTTTCAGAAAATATATGGTTTGGGGGGTCTTTTACAAACGCTAGCAACCCAGCAGTTGAAAATCAAATCAATAGGAAAAACTTGCAAAAAATGCAAAAATGGCTTGGCCAGCTGATTTGAAAAAGGTTGGAGGGCTTGGCAGCGAAAGGGTTAAAATACCTTTTTTAGAATGGCAGCATTAACATTTGGAAGTGGAACAGGATCATCATCTCCTTCATCATCCATCCCCAAATCTAAATGTTGAAAAAAACAGATTAGTGAAATGCAAACAATTTAAAAAGTACTGTACAACTTTTTAAACTCCAAGCACCCAAAATACTTAAATTGTTTGATAATCCTGCAGCTTAACGTGAACCTGTACTGACGCAATATGGCAGCCATCAGTACCCACCTCTTATAAAAAAAATAAGCCTGAGGATGAAAGATGCAGCCTCCAAATAATTTGCTTAAGATCTAAAAGGGAGAATTATGAACAAAAGCAAAGAGTTGATACCTGGGAGTCCAGCCAGTTGTTCAAATAGTCTTGCTGAAGACTTAGCAGAAGCGTTAGATATGTGGCTTATGAACAGAAGTTCTGAGCAGGAGCTAGAACGGCAGGATCTGCAAGAAAACACTGCTAAGGCAGAAGAGGTAAAAGGGACAGGGATCCCCTGACCTTGCCGTAGATCTCCAAAAGGTCTGGTAGAAAAATACAGAGGCCGCCCAAGGTGCTGCCAATTTTAAAAGCCTGTGCAAAGCTACATCCCTTGAAGGAAGAGAAATTAGCTGTTCCTTGGATGTTAGCATCCTACACATGCAGGCACAGTGCCCTACATATTTACTAGGGATGCACCGATACCAATACTAGTATCGGTGTAGATACCGAGTATTTGATACTTGTACTCGCCAAATGCTCCCAATGCCTATCCAGATAACAGAATTTCCAGCATCAGGAAGCTGGGCAGCGGGTCATTACTCGTCACTTGGCGATGAGGGAGCATGGAGTCGGCTTCCCGGCCAATCAGGAAGCCGGGCGGCGTGTAATAACTTACGGGCCCAGCTTCCTGACTGGTCGGGAAGCTGGCCAATCAGGAAGCTGGGCGGCGAGTCATTATACGCCACCCTGGCTTCCCGATTTGCCAGAAAGCCGGCTCCATGCTTCGTCACCTGGTGACGAGGGAACATGGAAACGTAATCGTAAAAGCCGGGTGGGAAGTCATTACATGCCACCTGGCGTCCCGGATAATCAGGAAGTCGGGCGGCGAGTCATTACAAGCCTTCCGGCTTCCTTAAATGGGACTTCTGGTATCTGTATTCGGTGTTTGTGAATACCAAAAAACAAATATCGGTACATGTACTTTATACCACAAAAAAAAGGTATCTGTGCATCCCTAGTATTAACACAGACATCAGTCATATGCGGGGCATACGTTTCGAGGCTAGCAATAAACTGTCACAGCTAAGCACAAGGCTCCAGATATCTGCTCCAATTGCGCCATAATGTGGGCATAAAGAAATGCTAGTTGCAGGGTTGCCACACTTATCCAGCATCATTTGTACTTTGGGTCACTTAGCTGCAAAACGTATGTAGAAGACAAGGAGTTCTGACTTCGGTCTGTGGTTGCTGCATGCTTGCTTTGGCTCAGCGATATAAAGAGACACTAAACTCAGGAATTACATCTCAAAAATGCATTCAAGTACCCCAACTATTAAAATGAATGTAGTAGATTTGTGCATCACTCGGCTGTAGATACTAAAATCCCTGAATTTGTGCCAACACAGTCATTCCTTCTGAGGGGTGGCTAATTTTGTTCCCCACGGTCTCTATGCATGCTGTAAAGTAGCCACCACTCCAAGCTTGCTCCCGTGATTGACTACAATCTACACGTTTAGTTATCCAATTTGTACGGAAATTATAGTCTACCATAGGCGTGAGCTTGGAGTGGTGGCTACTTTACAACACACACAGGGACCATGGGGAACAAAAGTAGGAATATAAGAGTTGGGGGGGGGGGGGGGGGTGGG